GCACAAACAAAGTTTTATTCACCATTGCTTTTGTATGAAGAAGCCTGTGAGTACTTTATGTTTTTGCTCATGATTTAGTTAGTTATTAACTAATGTTTTATTATTTTTGGCAAATGTTTGTTTATAAGTGTCAAAAAATTAACTCAATAATGGGGTATTATTTTTGGATGAACATTATAACAAAATTTAAAAAGAATATTTCTAATAAATTAATAACTAATTAAAAAAAAAAATTAAAAAAAATAAAACCTACTTATTATTATCATTACAATTACAACACACGTTATAATAAAATTCATCTTAATTAAAAAACCATGGTAAATGAAACCCATGTAACTAAAACATATTTCTATTTGCTTTTACTATATAATTCTCTAAAACATAGTTATATAGTATACAAAGCATGTCTCATTAAAATATGTAAATGTGCGAATTTCAAAAGTAATTTATTTAAAAATTTAAATTATATACAAAAGTATTATTTCACAGAACAATATTCAAATAAAACTCTTTTCAGAGTTTACTCAACCTTAGTAGAATGAAGAGATTCACAAGGGTTCCACAAAGTTTTCACAAAGGTTTCTCAAGGATTTCACAAAGGTTTCATAAAGGTTTCACAAGTATTTCAGAAGGGTTTCACAAAGATTTCAAAAGAGTTTGACAATGGTTTCAAAAGAAATTTACTAAGGTTTTACAAGAGTTTCCACAATGGAAACTCTTTTGCAATAGTTTCTCAATTTTTCAATTGCATAAAAGATTGCAAAATTGTTGTTTTTTAAATATGAAAACATAAATTTAAAAAATTAAAACTTGCACAATAATTTTAAAAAATTTTAAAAATGTTTATCCAAAAATTTTGTTGCAAAACATTGAATTGTTTAGTGATTTTTTTTTTTTAAGTATGTGAAAAAACTTTAGAAGAAGGAGAAGCCCAATTACACATTGCTAGAATGTTACCATTGTTTCAGGTAAATTTTTGTTTTGTTTTTAACTTTTGTTTGATGATACTTTGAATACTGTCTTGAGCTGATTATACTTAAAATATTTGATTATTGATACTTTATTTACTCTTACTGGTTATAAATACTTTGATACTGTCTCTGACTGGTTATAAATACTTTGATACTGTCTCTAACTGGTTGTGCTTTTTTAATATTGATTGAAATATTTACTTAAAAAAATAATATTTAAATATAATGAGTAAAAAATTTAAAATAGTTACAGAAAAATATATAGGCAGTTAAATGTTAGGTATAAAAATTGTTTTAATGATGTTATTGTGATAATTTTTGGTTTTAGGAAATTTCCAATTTTGTACAACGTTGCTATGAAGTTGTTCCCCATGTTATTCATCAACTTGCTTCAATGTACAACAAGTAGGTTCTATATTTTTTTTAATAATACACATCTTTCCCTCTAATATTTTTTTTTTAATATAAATCTTAAATTTTTAGTTTTTTTTTTTTTTTTCATTATTATGAAATATTGCTTTATCAAATCCAGTTAATTTTTTCAACGATATTTTCTTAATGTGTTCCTCTAAAAAAAACACTGTGCTTATTAATTTGTGAAATATGTTGAACCTATCTTTCACTGATTACCATAGATAAATTAACACTTTGGCTATTGTTAAATGATTTTTTTGTTGATCTTTGAGTTTTTTTTCAGTCATACAACAAGCTTTATGATTTTTACCTCATTTCGGTATCTAATGATGTTTTTTTTTTTAAATTACTGTTATTGGACCCTTGGATCAAACAAATCCAAATCCAAAATGGTTTTCTTAAAAGATTGGGTAAAGGACTTTTGATCTTTTGTTGTAAACTAAACTAGATCAAAATGTATCAATGTGATTCAAAAATATGTGTACATATTTTTTCTGTGGTTATTTTAGGCGCTCCAAGAAGACCTAATGGTTGCATCACAAAGCACCACAAAAGAGAATATAACTTGGAAGTTTACGCTTGCTTCATGTTGAAAAAAAGCTTAGAGTAGGCACTAATCAGATAAGATAAGGATCCAGCAATTTTTAGTTTTTCAAATAGCTAAGAGACAAAGCACAACTTCAAACATTTGTATGTTTATACTTATGTCAAAAAATGATGCTTTGCAAAATATTGCGATGATTGAAAGCTGAGAACTAAAAAAACTCTAAAATTTTATCCCCCACCTGCCCCAAATGTGAGAGCAACAAGTTAGTAAAATAATTTTTTTGCTATTCTTAACTAAGTTTATATTCATCAATAAATTTTAAGTTTCATAGTATTATCTTTCAGTGTTCATAAATTATGACCATAGACCAAAGTTTAAACTCCCTCAATTTGAGGGGGTTACAAATTTTATATGGTCATAAAATTTGTAACCTCATTTTTAAATGCTTAGAGATTGTAAAGCAATGCTTAAAATTTATAGATGAATATAAATTTAGTTAAGAATAGCAAAAAAAATTATTTCGTCAACTTGTTGCTCTCACGTTTGGGGCAAGGGTATAAAATTTTAGACCTTTTTTGTTTCCAGCCTCCATTTATTGCAACTTTTTAAAAAACATTGAGCAAAATCTAAACATTGCAAATGTTTGGATTTTGCTTGATGTTAGCCATCTCAAACACCAGAAAATGCTGGATCTGTCACTGCCACAAATCTCTTGTTTTTGAAGCAAATTTGCTTCAGAATTCAGCGTTTTAACCCTGCAAAAGTACAATAAATATTTATATACATATAAATTTTCAGCTTATGACAAATATCTCAAGAAATTATGTAAAAAAATAATTTTTAAATGTACTTTTAAGGCTCAGAGTTTGCAGTTAAGTATCAGAGTAAAACTCAAATTATTAAATCCGTTCAATAACAAGAAAGCAAGAAAGCAGTTCCCATAGCTAGCTCCTTGAATCCACTCTTATTCTTTTTTAATAGTTCTTTACAAGAACTCTTAATTTAAAGTAGCTTCTCCGTGCTCATCACACGCTCTACATTATCTTGAATAAATTTTACTGTAAGCACAGCGAAATTGAATTTTTTATTACGAAATATTTTTCTTAAAACAAGAAATACATTTCTTGTTTGAGGAAATAAATATCCTATCCTGCAATTCATTTTTAAAAATAAGAATTTAGAATATTTAAAAAGTCTGAGGGAGTCTCATCTGTAAGCATTTTTTCAAACTATGACCTAGAATAACAAAAATTACCCAGTAGTCTGGTGAAATTTACAACTCTTTATCAACAAAAACTGCTTTCAGAAGGATTTCAACTTTGATTCTATCCATTTTTACATCTTTTCAGACCTCCATTTGTTTTTGAATACAGAAATTTTTACCATTTTTATATTGTGATCTTGTTCAAAAGATACTAATGCAAGCACCAAACACCTCTATGGTTTTACCATGATTTAAATTTAACCTCTGCAGCAGGCTCAATATAAATCTGCTAATAGTCTTGTTGATCTTAAAAGTATAAATTAAAAATAATGCAATGTAGATAAAATAAGGTTTAAAATGACACTGCTGAAAACTTATTACATTAAATTTTGTCAAGATAAAATCAAAGTGCTATTTCTATTGATTTCATTTTTATCATGTTTCTACTGATTTAAAAAAAAGTCTGTCATTGGAAAAAAAATTTGGTTTAGAGTTATTTTTTTTATATTTTACATTTGATTTTAAACCAATTTGCAAACCATTGTTTTTAAACAATTTGTTATATTATGACATAAATTATTCTTAAATAATGACTAATATATCAAAACTTATGAAATTAAGTTTAACTTTAAAAATTGCAGAATAAGAAAAGTCACATTATATTGATTATTCATTATATTGATCTCTTTGAGTATTTTATTACTTAGAATAAAAACCTGATTTTAGAGAAATGCAACTTAAGTTTTTTAATTTTCACCTAATGGTCTGATTTTTTTCTGCAAGTTCACAATAATCTCTACTCTTCTCAAAAGTCTAAATGTAAATAATTTTAAAATTAGAAACTTATACATTTTATTTTTGCAAAAAGGTATTTTTAAGTGAAATAAATTTACTTTACTATTTTTTAACTTTTTATGGTTTAATGGTATAAATAGTTTATTCTCCAGCTTGACAGTTTTATTTACAGCTACGGCTACACGAAGCTCTCCGACATGATGGCAGGAGGTTAACAAGTATAATGGTCTTCCAGGAAACTTAGCTAATTCTGTACAAACCCCTTTTAAATAGCCAGGGCTTGAAGTGGGTGAACTGTATGAGGTCAAAAGCATCTAACAAATTTCTAATTGCTGTGTATTGGGCCTCAACACATTTTTTTAATTTCATAACTAATTTGTGCTTTTTTAAAACACCATCAGTTAACAAAAATAATAGTAAAAAAAATGCGCACATTCAGTATAGATAAAAAACCTTCCATTATTTGTAGTGACGTTATTATATAGTTAATGATTTGTAAATTTCTATTCGTGCCGATTTTAAAATGCCCTTAAAATCTCAAAAAATTTTAAAATATTAAACTTTAAAAGAGTGGCGCAAGTAAAATTGTCATCCAAAATAAAAAATAAAAAAATTTCATTAGAAAACTATACCTTGGGAATATTTTATCACACTCCGGGTATTAAAATTTGTTCATGAGGGTCAAAATGGGATGGGCTAATATATATATATATATATATATATATATATATATATATATATATATATATATATATATATATATATATATATATAAATCATCAAAAAGTTCATCAAAAGTTTATTGAACAGTTGTTTTTGTTATTGTTTGTAAAATTAATTGTACAAATTGTTTTAAAAACATTTAAATTTATTGTAAAAAATACACTCTTTAACTTAAAATATCTTTTGATAATTTAAATAAAATCTTTTTTTATAGTATACAGTCATTAAAAACAATTTCTCATTTAATTACCTTATACTTTATTTCATCACATTTTTGAAATGTTTTCAAAAATCTAAAAAGCTGTGGTCAAGTTGTTGCAAAAAAATAAAACATGGTCAGGAATAGCATGTTAACCACACACCTTTCCTGTCCCTGACTGTATATATATGTGTATTATTGAATGTATATATAAAATCTAAAAAGCCGGGGTCAGAAATAATGTGTGATTGCATGCCATTTTCCCTATATATATATATATATATATATATATATATATATATATATATATATATATATATATATATATATATATATATATATATATATATATATATATATATATATATATATCACCTAATGAAAAAAACTCATGATCTCACCATTTGCGATTCTACTGATCATGCTAATGAAATGCTAACACCAGTCCTTGACTTGAATTGTCTGAACAGTATCATTGCCTCATCAATGGCAATACAAACTGGCTTCTAGTGACAAATTGTTTCATTTCAACAGCTCTAAATTCATATACAAGTTAGACAACTACAAATAAATCAACAAAGAATTCAACAAAGTTGACTGGTCATCTGCCTTTAAAGACTTAAGAGTGGAACAAAGTTACCAGTTTTGGTTCAACAAGTACAATGAATGTTGTCTTCAATTCACCCTATGTATACCAAACAATACTTATCAATACTTTATATTGAGTTTTTTTTTAATTAAAATTTAAAACTGTTATATAAAAGAAAAAATGAAATTTGATGACTTGAAACCTTTTTTTTTTTTTTTTAGCCGGTATACTAGTTTCTTTGCTACCCATTATACATAAGGAATCTGGATTCAAAACTTGATTGTTCCTATACAGTGAAGAAGCCAGAGTTTATTTGGGGATACCGTTTTTCAGCAACATTGTGTGTGTGTGTGTGTGTGTGGGGGGGGTTATGTTTTTGATTTCCCCCTCCCCTTCATTCTCCCTTAGTTAAACGGGTGCCGCAACAATAATTTTTAATAATCATTTTCTTAATAATCATTTATGTTTATCTTGTTCAGTTTTATCCTATAATAAGGTGTTGATTTAAAGGCATTTTTTGAATACATGAGTTTATTGATGGGCGGTGTTACTTTAGCTAAAATAAAACTATTTTTCTTAAGATTTTAATAAACGCTTTTGTTGCATAAACCACATTATCAGTAAATAATTATTGAAAATTGTTTAAAGTATTTTAAACAGTTATTAACTATATTTTAGTAAGTTTAATTTAAAATAATAATTAAAAATATTTTAAGCAATTTTTAATCAATATTTACATTACATAATTATATCACGTAATATTTGTAAAATTAACAAAATAGTTTTATGTCTTGTAATTGAATTAAAAACATAAGCATTTAATAAACAAATTTAATAAATAAAAATAATAAAATTCTATTATTTTGATTAAAAACCACATATTTTTAATACATATATTTTTTTCATTATTAAAAATAATTTAAAAAATTACATTTAAATAAATAAATTATATTTACTATGGGTTATTTTAAACAGATCTAAAAACTTTTATTAAGTTATTATAACCTTTTTTTTTATTATAACCTTTTTTTTTATTCTTTTAAAAAGAATATTGAAAGGAAAAAAAACTGTCTGAAAAAGTTTATACTTTGTTTTTTCGTTTTCCTCAATTAAACTAAAATGGCAAGCTAAAGATCAAAAGTTTATTCATTTAAAAATTAAACTTGCGCGACATTTACAAGGACTGATATTTTTTACTTTTGTTCATTTATTATCAAAAGCAGTTTACTTTTAATTGCTAAAAACAAAAAATAACCTTATGCTTAATGGATATTTAAAAACGCTTTAACTTTCAAAAAAGCAAATCTTTTATACATTCCATTGTTATAAAATTTTGCAACGTGGTTTTAAAATTAAGTTTCGTAACAACTTTCATTTTTTTTAAAGTTATGTCTAGTTATTAACGGAAGGCAAATTACATCACGTAGTTATGTAAAAAAGCAATTTCTTTTTAATTCTTTTTATTTTCCTGAAGAAAAACCAGGAAAATAGTTTCATGACTTTCAAGTCTGGAGAGTTTTTTGGGGCTCTGCATCCCTGGTTTTATTTGATGGAACAAGAGATTATAGTTTTCTTAAGCAGTAGCCCTTGTAGTATTTGTTGAAAAACAAACATTGGCATAGTGCGAACCTATGTAAGTGCAAATGTCAAATTGATTGACTCAAAAGTAAAAAGGACACTTGCAGCATAACGTAGACACATGTTATGTGTCTATGTTATGCTTATGTTATCGCAACTACTGTTGAGTTTTGGTTAGGATAGCTGTATTTAAAAAAAATAAAAACAATTGGCAGATTTGTAATCTTAACAGTTTGAACTCACATCAATGTTTTTAATACTAATTCACAGCTCACTTCACACCTATGCAGGATTCACTCTGGCTTGGTTGTGTATAGGTTTTTACTATGAATTTTGCTTATGCACAATTCACAAGAAAAGTTTCAAGTGTCAACTTGAAACTTTTCTGTCAAGCAATCAGCTACTTTTTGTTTTATAGTTTTTATATTCATTTATTTATTATTATTTATTTGATTTATTTTATGTTTATTATCATCTAAATTAAACAAATCTTTAGAGATGGTCATAAAGTTATTAATGTATCTGATGTTCACTTTTTAGTAAGATTCTTAGTTTATCATTTTTAATGTTTATTAAATTATTATCTATAAGTTTAGTAAATTAATGTTGTCCAAAAATTTAATGAATTATGGTTGCCCATAAGTATAATGTTTAACATAATAATTTAATGTTGTCTATAAATTTTGTTACACTTACAGTGTTTATAACTTATTTTGTTACACTTACAGTGTTTATAACTTATTTTGTTACACTTACAGTGTTTATAACTTATTTTGTTACACTTACAGTGTTTATAACTTATTTTGTTACACTTACAGTGTTTATAACTTATTTTAAACTTTTTTAGGCATTGTTTAAACACTTAGGTGAACTCTTACTTTCAATGATTACTTTGGATGAGATTATAAACAATGGTGCGGTATTGCTTGAGCATTGGAAAAAATATAAGAGGTGTAATTTTAGCTTTTAAAGTTTATGATAATTAAGTTATGTTCTAAATTATTAACAATTTAATGTTAAAATAAAAAGTCAAAATTTTAAATTTAGCTTTCGATTTTTTATATTTTTACTTTTATCCTAAACTATTTAATGTGTTTTCTAAAAATCAGTGTGTAATCAGTGTGTAATCAGTGTATCCTAAACCATTCTAACAATATAATCAGTGTGCAAAGTATCCTAAATCATTAAATGCATTTTAAACAATGTAATCAGTGTGCAAAGTATAATAACTTAACACAAAAAATAAAGTTTGATATATTTCTTTTTTTTTTTTTTAATCTTGAATTTTTACTTAGAATGCTTAAGACTGTTCATGGCAATGCTCAGCATTTTGGAGTTGATAGTACAAAGTTACGACCATTTGAAAAATTTCTTTTACAAGTGGAAACTCAAGTTCTGCATGGAAAAATATTTGAGGTAATGCAATAAGCTAATGTAGTAACTAATGTAATTACAGTTAAAAAGTTTTTTTGCTTAAAATATGTCATACTTTGTGTCGATAAATTTATATTTCAAGCAAATTTTATTTACTAACAAACTTTTCTTTTTTAAATTGCTAATATGTTTTACAGTATTTTAAAACTAAATTTAATTTTCTTACTGTGTCTACATTTTATGGGTTAAGTTTACATTTTTTACAATACTATTTTTTAGTTTTTGGTGCCAACTTGAAAACAATTTCTTTTTGTTACTGTAATTTTCTTTTCTAACATAACTATCAAATACCACCTGTAAGACTTTAATTTGATTTAAGTCAGTGCTTTGGCTAGACCAGTCTAGATTTTATCAGATTTAAATCAGTTTTTTGAGACCCTTATATTGTGTTTATGATCATTATCTTGCTTAAGAATGTTAAATTTTTTTTTTTTTTTGACATGTTGTATAATCCATTTTTTTATTAAACCATTATACCAGTAAACCAGTATAATATTTTTTACATTGATTACATTGAGCATCAATATAATCACTATAATATATGATAATATTCAATCACATTGATATGCAGTCGCAATCATACAAAACCGCAGCATTTTTTTATTATAATTTCATTTGACTTATAAATTTTTGTTTTATCAGAATTTGTTAAATTTTTTTTTTTACTTTCTTATTTAAAAAGCTATTTCAAAGTCGTTTTGTTGTTAATAGAATGACATTAGTATATATCCTTTTTTGCTGTTCTTTTGTTGTTTTCATATTTTGTTTTTTAGTTACACAATCACAGATATATATATATATATATATATATATATATATATATATATATATATATATATATATATATATATATCTGATAATATATATAGGTATATACAATTACTTACTTATACTAATAAACTTTAATTTAAATTAAATATAATTATCTTATACTAATAAACATAATAAATTCTTTTTGCTGTTTAGCAGTAGCAGTGTCATTAAACAATGGAAAGTGTATTTATGTGATTGTATTTGTTTTAAATTTTTTATTTGAATAAAGTGGTTCTTTGTTTACAAAGTTTTTTAAATGTTATGAATTACAAAGCTGTTAATTCACAGATGTGAGATCAGATGTGAGATCAGTTTTAAATGTCGGTATCAGTTCTGTAAAATTGCAAAGTTGTTAAATGTTTTTTTTTTTAATTTTAAAAGTAATAAAAAAAAAAGATTCAGGAGTTTTAATGCTGCAAAATAGATAAAAAAAACAAAAAAGATATGAAAGATTTTTTTTCTCTATTATTTCCTTTTAGAATTGTTTGAATCTGAAGTATGATACTCGTTTTGTTAATGTAACACGTAACCCTGTTTTATCAGAAGAGTTTTCTCATTGTCTCAAGCTAATGTTTCACAGTATAGAACCTAAAATAGGTATTTTTATTTTTATTTATATAGGTATGTTTGGATGTTATACAACAAATATGTTATATAGATATGTTTGGATGTTATACAACAAATATGTTATATAGATATGTTTGGATGTTATACAACAAATATGTTATATAGATATGTTTGGAGGTTATACAACAAATATCTTATATAGATATGTTTGGATGTTATACAACAAATATGTTATATAGATATGTTTGGAGGTTATACAACAAATATGTTATATAGATATGTTTGGATGTTATACAACAAATATGTTTTATGTATATGTTTTATGTTTTATGTATATATGTATTGTAAATAAAGACTATCATTCAACTAAACCATTTGAAAAACACATAAATTAAAATTGCTATAAAAATACAAGTTTATCATTGTTAAAGATCTAACTTTAGTTTTAAGACAAAAACTCGTTCAATGAATCACCAGTAAATAATTGTAGAAATTTGTTTTTTATGATTTTTTTTTAAATCAAAAAGGAGTATTTAATTTTTTTGAACTTTTTTTTTTATCCATGGTCAAGTATCATAATGAATATTTTTTATCAAAATAAAGATTACGCTGTTTTGTGGATGAAGATAACTTTCAATTTGGTATTCATTTAATTACTGGTTCAATATCTTCTTTTTTGTGTTTCCAGACTTTCTTAGAAAGTTTAGTGTCATTTTGAATCTTTCTAAATTAAGACTTTGTGTTGTTTGCAAACTTGAAGGAGTATTCCCTAATACCTAATGAACATTTTTACTTAAAAGTTTGCATCAGATAATTTTTAAAGGTTATGTAGTTTATAGTTTTAAATGATGTGTAGTTTTCTCAATGCAAGTTTGCAATGTTAACAATGTTTTTATTTTGATTTTTTTGTTGATCAAAATTTTTAAATTGAATTAATGTTAACTAATATTTTGCATTCTACTGCTGCATTCAGCTGTTACATATAACTTATTTTAACTTTATTTCTGTTAAAAGTCTTGTGGAGCTTGTGATGGCATCTTGTGGAGCTTGTGATGCCATGGAAAATGTCAATTAGTCGTATGATAGGTGTGATTTTAATGATTTTAATCTTCTTACTAGAAAATTAATTTTATTTTGGTGGTGTTTAAGTTGGTATTAGGAGGATTTAAATTTGAATAATATTGAAAACATGGCTAAATCTTGATTTTGTCAATGTTTATTTGTAAATAAGAACATATTTTTAATAAGTCGGATGAAGTAAAAGGCCTAAAGAATTAGAAGACAAATTATAAAAATTTGATAAAGGTCAGCAACCATTACTGGGTGGATGGTTGGAACTAACATGGATATAGTTTAATGGACTATCAGGTTTGTGGTAAGGTTAAAAATTTCCATTTGTAAAGGTTTAATCTTATATCCAGGTAATAATCAGTTTACATATTCCACTGATTAGAAATACTAATGCTTTTGAATATCTGAGTTACACATTATTTAATTTTTACCATTTTAGGATTTCTAGCGTTTTTAAACACATCCAACACACATAATGAATAAAAAAAAATGTTGTATGTAAAGCTGCTCTAATATTACCTATATCCCATTATAAAAAAAGATCAATACAATGATTTTTGTAAAAATTTATTCAAGATCAGGTTTATAAACAACATAAAATCTTTTAATTGAGCCAGGTACAAAAAAAACCACACTAAACTTTCTAAACAAAATCTAAAAACTTACAGATTCAGTTCTTTAAGCCAATAATTATGTAGAGCATAATTAAATGTGTCAGTATAATTAATTCATCCAGATGTAATTCTTGTCTTAACCAAAAGTATTTAACTATGACATTAATCATGGATTCTTACTGAACAAAAGAAGTTGGTTAAATAATATCATTGATTGATTATAAAATGGCATAAAGCTTAAAATTCTACAAAAGTTGTATTTTTTTAAATTTAAATTATATATAAATATATACTTTTGTTTTATGCTACTGGTGATTAGCAAATTTATATTTAATTTTTTCTTAGCTATTCTTGTTTTTTCTCTATAGAGATGTCAGATGTCGCTCCATTGTATTTTGAAATTATTGAAATGTTTTTTTGTTTGTTTTTGATTTTGTAGATGGCTGATAATTGCCAACTAAAAATGTTGTTTTTTCTTTATGCCAGTATAATATATATATATATATATATATATATATATATATATATATATATATATATATATATATATATATATATATATATATATATATATATATATATATATATATATATATATATATATTATATATGTATATTATATATTATATATGTATATTATATATTATATATGTATATTATATATTATATATGTATGTATATATGTACATTATATATGTTTTACTTGTACAAATGCGCACAAATAAATATACAACTTATATAATTATAAAGTACAAATAATTTGATTTGAAGACAATATTATATATGTATTATATATGTAGACAATATTATATTTGTTAACACTTAACAAATTTTACCCTAATAGGTGAGCTGACAGAAATTAATCAAAGACATCATTATGTTGGACTACTTGGTCTTTTTACTCTCCATTTTAACATATACGGAGCTTTAGACAAAAAATTTTTTAAACTACTTTGGGAAGTCTATAAAAAGGTAAATGGACAACTAATATGGAGTAATTAACATTTAGATTGTGAGTAACTTTTTTTTTTTTTAAAGAATTACTTAGTAGCAAACATTTTGGGTTCAGTAAACTTAATAGTTATTAAATTGTATTTCTGATAAGAGAAATAAGTTTTTATTTCACCACTTTTTTTATTTGTTTCACCCCTGAACTTGTACTTAAGTGCCCATGTTACCTAAAGTGAATATTATGACTCTAAGCTACATTCTCATTTGAGGTAAAATAAAAAAAAAATTTTACTGAATAATTGTTCAAACGCAAATTTTCTTTAAATAAAAAGTTTATTAGTAAAAGTTCAAGTTTAATAAAAAGAAAACTTTTAAAATCCAGTATTACTAATAAATCATCTTTAAACATTCAAAGTAATAACAAATTTTACAATAACTTTTACAAAATATAAATCTGAATTATGGAAGAACATTGTGTTATACTGCCAAACTAGAAACTGCATTGGTGGTTGATAATTTTTGGTATTATTTGTCTTCTTTTAATGGTGTCACAAATTTCCAAAACCAGCAGCTGTTAGCTAAAATACAAACTATTTAAGTTTTGTTTTTGGAAAATTTTGAACAACTGCTTGATGAAATAATTTATTTTTTGTAGTTAATACCATTAATAGTTGAAAATAATTTACTTTGCCGGAGTTTTGGTGAACTTAAATTTATTTATAATAGCTATTAAAAAAAAATTCTAAAGTACAGGTTCATAATATCGGTTTTATTAATTTAATACAGGTACCTGCTATCCATTTGGCTGGTAATATTCTGTTTTTTCCAAATGACTTTCTAATGAAATACATTCCTCATTGTAACAAGTTTATCGACAAAAAGCAAACTGATGCTGTTGGGCTGGCAAAGCAACAGTATTTATCTTTCAACAATCAAGGCTTTGGAAAGTATGTTTTTATAGAAAGTTAAAAATAAAAAAAATTTAATATTATATACATATAATATCAAGGAAATATAATTGTTGACACAATACTTAAATAGAAAATTGCAACTTGCTAATATTGTTATAAATTTATTTTTTAATTATAACTGTTTAAATTATTTATTTATAAGTTATACTTTTATTGTAATATTAAAAAAAAAAAAAATGGATAATTATCAGGTAACCAATAAAGTTCGTGCTTTTTTTTCTAATTCCTATTTACTAACGAAAGTATTTTAAGATAATGGTTGTGGTAGGGAGATAATTTTGTTTAAGATAATGGTTGTGGTAGGGAGATAAAATTGAAACTTGTTTCAAGGAGAATCAATCAGTGTGTTTCATAAGTTTTATTAGTGCAATTTAAATTTAAAATTCACGTCTGTTTACTTTATGAGTTTAAACTTGGCACCAAAGCGGCAGAAGCTTGTCGTAAGATATGCGCTGCTTTCGGGGAAGGTACCATAGCAGTACGGACGGGTCAAAAGTGGTTCAAAAAATTTTCTTCTGGAAATGAAAACCTTGAAGATGAACCAAGATCTGGAAGACCATCCACTGTCAACAACGAGGATATCAAGCTGGCAATCGAGCAGGACTCCAGCCAGACATGTCAGGACCTTGCCTTAAGATTTAATGTGAGTAATGAAACTTATTGTTCACATTTGCACCAACTTGGAAAACGTTGGAAATTGAGCAAATGGGTACCTTATGAGTTGAGTGAAACAAACAAGCTACAGCGCTTAACCATCTGTTCTTCATTGCTTTCTTGCCACAATTTAGTGCCATTTTTTGACTGGATGTTAACATGCGACAAAAAATTGATTACGTACTGCAACAAAAAACGAATATATCATTGGTTAGCCAGTAGCGATCCAGTACCAATAACTCCTAAACCACGTATTCACCAACAAAAGGTTTTACTGTGTATTGTGGACTACAGCAGGTATCATTCACTATGACTTGCTAGCAAGTGGACCAACCATTAGTGCTAAGATATACTCAGCCCAATTGGACAGAGTTTTGATTGCTCTTCACCAAAATCAAGCAGCTTTGGCAAACAGAAAAAGTTTTGTATTCCACCAGGACAACGCCAGACTGCACACTGCAAAAATCACGCAGGAAACTCTAGCACGTTTACAATAGGATATTCTACCTCACCCTCCGTATTCATCAAACCTTGCCCCAAGCGACTATCACCTGTTTTTGGCCCTGGATAAACATATGAGGAATCAACAGTTTCAAAATAGAGAAGATCTTGAAAATGAGCTAAATCAATTTTTTAGTTCCCAAACTCAAGGCTTTTATAAAAATGGAATATACAAGCTTGTTTCATGGTGGGAGAAAGCCATTCTTGGTGAAGGAGACTATTTTTCAGAATAATCTACTAAAGCCGTTTTTTTGTGTATTTATTTATGGACCTGCAAAACTGCACGAACTTTATTGGTTACCTGATATTTTTAATTTGCTTATTAATTATAAAATGTTCATTTTTTTAATTAAAACTTTTTTTTTAATTCAAAAGTTTGTTAAAACCTTTATTTAAAAATAAAAAGTTATGAAGTTTTCTAATTTTTTTATTTATTTAAAAGTTTGTTAAAATGTTTATTTAAAAATAAAAAGTTATGAAGTTTTCTAATTTTTTCAAAGCTTTATTAAAAATTTTAATTTAAAGGTTAATTTATTCTTAGTTATTTTAAGAGTTTAAAATTAACACTTATTTTTTTCCACCTTTAATTAAAAGGTGGGAAAAGGTGGGCATATTCTAAAAATTAAAAAAGCTCTGTTTCTTCAAAAAATAATGTAAATAATAAAATTTTTTTAAAGAACTTAAAATTATGTGTAATGCATATAAATTTAATCTATAGTGAATAATTTGCATAAAAATTAAAAAAATGAAAAACTCAATACAAAGATACAAAAACTTTAAGAAATCTCAATAGAAAATCATAAGCTTTATAGTCTTTTGAACAAGAAGGACAGCTACATAAAAAGGATTGATTTAAACAAGAAATTTTTTTTCATGACAACTGTTGCTACAAGTACAAAAAACAGGGCAAGAAAAAAATGAGAAAATTTAACAGCTTCACTCAAATCAATCTATTTGACCCTTAAAGTATCTTGAAAAAATTTCAACAAATTAAAATATCCTAATAAAATTTCAACAGCTTTGACAAAAATAACTCATGATATCATTTATTAAAAATCAGTTAAATTCATGCATGCAAACTTTATGTATTGATTTAGATTTTTTTTTTAAAGTTTTGAATTAACTCTTGCAAAACTACACCAAATTTAATTTTATTAGAATATTTTTTATTAAGTTTGGTTAAATATTTTTACTTAAATATTATTCTTTTAATTTAATGCAAAATATTTTTAGTCTTTATGTTTTGCACCAAATGTTCTATTACAATATTAATATATGATGGTTGCTAAGGGCGGTAAGATAAATAATTTGACATAGGTAAAAAAATATAGCAAACTTATTGAAAATAAACTATAAAAAATATATAAAAGTCAAGAAATTTCTTTTTTTAAATGTAAAAATTTTTTTTTGTATTTTTCAAAAACTTTAGCATAAGCCTTAATTATTTGAATTTATAAAAATGTTTATTTTTATGATATTATTTCTTATTTTTAGCTTTGTATTGTTTTTTCGAATTTTAGAGAGGCCCAGCAATTTTATTTACAAGTTTGTGTTTGGATGGTTGAGATGGAATCTGCAGCAAAAAAGACTACGAATTATGGAAATGACTTAGATTCAAAAGCATTGCTTTTTCTTTGGGTATTTTTTTTTTTTTTAATATGTATTAAATAAATGTATGTGTGTATGTGTGTATGTATGTATGTGTGTATGTATGTATGTATGTATGTATGTATGTATGTATGTATGTATGTATGTATGTATGTATGTATGTATGTATGTATGTAGAGATGTAAGTCGTTTTTTTGGTTCTTGTTTTTTTTGCCAAAAAAAACGTTTTTTTGGCCAAAAAAACCGAGGACTTTGTTTTTTGGTTTTTTTGTTTTTTTTGCGTTTTTGCCTTAAAAACTACTCTTTTGCATTTTAAACACTAAAATGGTTTTAAAATTTATTTTCGGTGATATTTATTAAATACTTGTTTTAATACTTCCATTTACCATATTTTTAGTATTGTCATAGTTTAGCAATAGTTCAATTACTCAAAAAAAAAAAAATTTGAAAAAGCAGCATTAATTAGAAAAACAATTTTTTTTTTTTAATAATTTTTAATAATAATTCTTATAAGTAAAGACAAAGAAGTAAATTTTTATAAGTAAAGGCCATGAATTGCATCTTTTTTAATATTGAACTGTTTTAAGAATTTATTATATGAACGAAGTAACACTGCATCCAAAAATAAGTCAGATCTGGGAATTTTTGGTGTGGGTGTGAGGGGGAATCGGAGCTTGTTAAAAATTTAGTTTATTTTGTATCACATTTTTGCCTAAAAAAAATTAAAAAAATTTAAAGATATTTTATAAATTTATGGATTCTGGTGCGGGGTGGTAGGTTCATACCTCTCATTTCCCCTGGATCTGTCACTGGTTTTAAAATTACAAAATTATATTTCAACTTTTTAACTTCTTCAACTTATGTTCATTTTTCATTAATCCATAATTTTTTTTTGAATAATAATAAATGTATTATTTAATGAAATGAACCAGAATTATCTAAATAAATATTTTTATTATATGAAGGAAATATATTTATTATATGAAACACTGCTTTTCAAAATAAAAAAAGGTAATCATTTTCATGTTTAATATAGGGAAAATGAATAATTTTTTTGAGGTAAAAATCTTGAAATTTTTAAAAAAAATAAATAACTGTTTAGCCATTTTCCTAATCAAAAAGATAAATATTTTTATACCACTTTGGCTAAACACTCTGTTTACACAAAATAAGTAAACAAATATACCATAAGAGTTTTAAAAAAATCCAAAAAAACCTACACCCAAACCAAAAAAACGCCAAAAAAACCATAAAAACGCCAAAAAAACCAAAAAAACACGTTTTTTTGGGTGAAAAAAATGCGACAGCAAAAAAACGCATTTTTTTCCAACACTATATGTATGTATGCATGTTTGTATGTATGTATGTATATGTGCTGCTTAAATACATATGATAATATTATATTTTGCAAAGTAATACTAAATCAATTTCTACAACATTTTGAAGTGTACACTTTATTCTAGACACTTTAAAAACTAAAGAATATGAACAAAATAAATCTTTTTTGCTATGATAAATCTCTTACATATTGAACATACTAGATACTAATTTCTTTAACCATAATCTTTATTCAATGTATGTATTAAAGCCTTGGCACTAGTTTTAGCAATCTTTCTGGCGCTTTTGACTTCCAAGTATTCATTTTTCAAACAACACAATTTACTTATCTTTGCTCCTTGATTTTTTTTTGTTGATTGTGTTTACTTTCTTCTCATTGCTCCTTGTGCCACTGATTTTTTTAGTCTTAATCGCTTCTTTCATTTTTTCTTTAAAACAACTCTTTTGATAACTTTTTCCCTTTCTCATGCATGGATCTCATCAACTCCTCCAGGGTTCCTCATCAACTCCCCCAGGGTTTCTCCAGGTTTAGCACTCTTAACACCACCAATTTTCCATTTCTCTTATGAAAAATATGACTTTTACTACTTTGACAAAAAAAATTCCTTGAAAAGATTTTTTATCACAGCTAACTTACATTTTTCTCTGAATTTTTCATTAAGAAAATTTCAATTGTGTAGTATTTAGATTTTAATATTTTTTTATGTTGTTGAACAACCCATGTTATTAATATGTAAAATGGTAAGTAGTAATTTTTTTTATATGTAGGGTGTAAACTGACGAGTAAAATGTTAAGTAATTTTTTTTTAATATGAAGGGTGTAAAGTATGCATTCAATATCAGCCATTTGATTCGCACAGTTATGAACCTCCATGTAGCATTATCAAAACCAATGACCAAATCTGCTGTTTTAGCTTTTTGTCGCCTTATTGAACTATTAAAGGTATTTTTTATTTAAATGATAAATGATAAATTAATTAAAATTGAAGTTATAATAATGAACCTGTTTAGGGCAAGAAATTTTAAAAACTGTACCAACAGTATCACTATATAAACAATGGTTTTTTTTAAAGAACAAAAAAATCCCAATTTTTAACAATTAAATCTTATAAATAACATAAAACTTATTACTTATGATTTATTCTATCTTATAAATAACATAAAACTCATTACTTTTGATTTATTCTATCTTATAAATAAAATAACTTATTACTTGGCAGAAATGCTGTCAGAAAAATCTGAAAAAAGATTTGTCCTCAAAAACAAGCCAATCATATAGATTGTCAAGTATAAATTAAATTTCAGGAGAGACAGGTGACAGCTGTAATGGTACATGTTATCTTTATATGACTTATTTTACTAAATTTAAATTTGAGAACACTTGGAAAATGCATTTTTTCAAAGATGCCCTGTTTAAAACTACTCCTGTTTTCGGTATGCAGTTTTCTTTATTACCATATATTTTTCTGTCACTACAAGGAAAAATATCTAAAGAACAGGAACACAGAAATACTAAAGAGTTTGTTTAAGCTAGCATCATGGCTTCTATTTTTCTTGTTTTGCCATGCTTGTGAATAAAACACTTAATGAGTATAAAAATATTTTTGAAAACTTCCTATTGATAGGTTTGTCAGTTATATACTTGGGTTTACTGTAGCCCAAATTAATCTTGCTAATTTGCTGAGTTATTTTAATCTACTTCAAAAAGAAAATTATGCAATATTAAACATGTAAAAGTACTATTTGTAAAAGCCATGATTGATGATATAAATTGATACCCAAATATTTTAAAAAAATTTTATTTCAAAAATCAATTTTTATTTAAATATTATATCTAAACGTTCAGCAAAATTTTGTTGGCTAAGAAAAGTGCGCTATATAATATTTAATTTTATATACATATACATTTCCTTTTTAGGCAATTGAATATACATTTCATAGACGCAGCATGAATATTGTCCAAAGTATAAACCATATCCGTCAGCATCTATCTTTTAAAGCTCTTCATATAGTTGATTCTGCTAAGGTAAAAAAAAGTCTTTTTTGAACTTAAACGATTACATTGAAGAAACAGCTCCTCATCCATTTAGGCTTTAATTGTGTTTTGTTGAACTGATTTTTTTTTTCAATTATTTTTAAATTTTGTTGGCTTTAATTTTTTTTGTCTTTTTTTGCTGTTGTAATTAATTTTTGCTATTGTCTTTTCATATTGTTAAATTTTTTTGTCACCTTGGTACATTGTTTTATCCTATTACATGATATTTGAGGTTACGCTTTTTAAAATCTGTCAAAGTACCTCTTTTTAGATGGTAATTAAGGTACCTTTTTTTAATTCAAGTTGTTATCTCAAATGTTTTTAGTTTTATAATTTTGTGTTAAAAAGTTCATTTTTTAACAAGCAATCTTAAGATTGTTTCTTAAATCTTCTTTAGGAATTTTTTGAATTCTAAAAATCATTGTAAGATCTTACAATGTATTTTTAAATATTTAAATTTTTTTTTGTATTTTTTTTTTGCAATTAATACATTAAATTAAAAAAAACTTATTATGACTTTTTACAGTTTTTTATGTTTAATTAGTTTTTACTTTATCTTTATTACTTTATATATATATATATATATATATATATATATATATATATATATATATATATATATATATATATATATATATATATATATATATATATATATATATATATATATATATATATACACACTATAGAGTGTTTAGATAAATTGTTACCCTATTTTTGTTACCTTAATTTATACAGCTTTTTCAGAAAAAGAAGAAAAAAACAAAAAATAATGAAAGAAAATATTGCTGCTCTATGCAAACCCTCATGTATGTATTGAAGCCCCTCAGCTGCAGGCTATTTCAGTATGATGCCAGAGTGCTTATCTAAACAGGCATTCATAGTTATACATTCTTTTAAAGTTTCAAAAAACTATAAAAGTTTGTATAATATAGTTATACCAACTTTTCGTCCAGTAAATGTTACCGGTCAATAAGTTTACTCAAGTAAAAGTAAAAAGTAGCTCATTAAAAATGTACTCAGAGTAAATGTTACCAGGTTACCTTTTTAACAGCCACACTCAGGTAACAGACTCGTCAAATAAAAACATAAACTGGGTGATTTATTCTTTTTGGTATATATTTACAACTATTATATTTAAGTAATATTTTTAAGTGTATGTGTTTTTAATATAAATAATTCAATAATAAAATTTGTCGTTAATTAACATTCATTTTATCAGTTTTTTTTTTTTTTTCTTTGGGTTGGCAGAAACATATAATTGGGAAATTTCTTATTATATTTTGCAAAGGTATGCACACATTCATATATGTAAAAAATGCTTTGAATAACTATTTTTTTCTTATGACAAGGAGCATCTAAAAAGGAATATCTTCGAAATAAAGCTAATAGTTGTTTAACTAGGATATATGAAAAAACAAAAATAACAAGTGTGTTATATATACATATATCAACTCTCGGAATTAGGGTGCCGACCTAACTGCCAACCTGAAAGTGTTTGAGGTCAGCAAAAATTGTCGACCTTGTTTCTATGTTTTATGTTCAAATAATTTTTGCCAACCTGATGCCGACCTCAAAAAGATGGAGATGGGCAAATTATTGCCCACCTCATTTTTCCTAATTCCGAGGGTTGTATTATAAAATATTTGTTTATATTGCTTGTTCTCTTATCAATCTGAGTGGCCACACTAACAAGAATTAAACTAAAGTTAAACTTATTGTTAAGTCTTATATATTAAAAGGCAGAGTTGGTTATGAATTTAAAAAGATTGAGTTACTCTAAGAAAACTCTGTAAAATTACAGTTGAAGTCTGAATATCTTACTTTCCTTGAGAAAATATTGTTTATATTATTTTAAATGCAGTCTATTTAGTTGTAAAAAGTGCTACATAAATAAATCTGTTTAAAATGCTTCAAAACTTGTCAAGAGTAAATAAAAGTTAAGTCTTTGTGACTTCATTGTCTTAAATTACTTTTGCCATCAGGCGCAACAACAGGCTAATTGTAATCCTGTCTTTAAAAACAGTCTGTTTTTATTGTGTCACAAAGAATGATTTTATTTTTAATTGATTTTTTTCTTAAATTTAGTTTCAAAAAAAGACATGTATCTAGATATCATAAATATAACTGTTGAAATAATTTGTTAGAGCAACTAAAATATTGGAGAAAGAAAAAATTCAATAATCAGAGATTTTATTTCTCCAAAAAAAAAAACCTGAAATAATAATTTAATTAGAAATTTTAGTAATTTATAGTTCATAAAAAAGTTAGTTAGGTGTCAGTTGTGCAGTGTTGATGTTGAAAATGAAAAGTATGTAATATAACATAAGTAATTTGCAAAGATATTTTTCCCTTAGAAAAGAATCAGCCAAGATACCAAGTTTACTGAGCAGAAGCTTGTAAGATATAATTTATTGAAAAAAAATTTCTTTTTAAAAAAATTATTTCAAATTAAAGTTTACTTGTTATTATTTATTTATTTAAGGACATCCTAGCAGCATTAGGACTGCTTCAAGATATGCTGAATGGAGCAGGTTTGTTATTTTGTCATATAGTACAATATCTGTATAAAATTGTTTTAAAAAAGTTTTTTTATTTTTATTTACAAAATTTATTTGTGAATATTGGTTTGTTTCTTTTTTTTTTTCTCCCTTTTTTACATTATAATCGACTTAAATTAGTACTCAACTTTTTTTCTCCTTTCAGGTAAGCAATAATTGTTTTTGTGTAGTGAGATAATATTTAGTTAGACCAGAATGCGTAAATTTAAATAATACTTTTCAAAAAATAGAAAAAAAAACAAATTTAATTTTGTTTAAATAGATCTTTCAGTTATCACTTTTTAGATTTCTTGATTTTTGGCTTTTTTTTTTTTTTTTTTTTTTTCTCTCCAGAAAATAGATCTGATAAATGTTTTCTTTTTTGAAAAAATTCATAACATTAAATTTTTACCTGCTTCAAGAAATTATTGTCAATGTTATTAAAAGACAGCTTAAGTCAGTTATTGAGGAGACTGCACATTTATATATAAAAAGTTTTGGTTGATATTTTACAAAGTAGTGTGTAAATATCGTGGATATAAAATATTATTTCAGTTGATGCCGGAGTCATTTTAAGTGAAATAAAACCCAGATTAGAAGCTAATTTAATCAAAACTGAATAAATCAGATTCGAATTTTAATTACTTATACCTTGGCTGCACTTAGTCTATCTATCAGCTTATTGCTGGTATGAATGTTTTAGAATTTTTTTTTGCAATAAAAATTTAATAATTGGTTTTTGAAATAAAAATTTAATAATTGGTTTGAGCCATTTAATTTTTGTTTAATATTCTTTAACTGTTAGATGGATTCACAAAGTTTGATTATTCTAAAGTAAACTTTTTATTGACATGTAATTTAAAAATAACTCATCCGCATTTTCTAGTCATTTCTTGTTTTAAAATTATTGTTTCCTAGAAACATGTTCCTATTTATTAGTTATTATCTTTTAGTTTATAATAAAATTTAGATATAAATATTATAACTATTTATACTTCTAGAATAAATAAAATTATGATAGTTTTATATAATTGTTATACTAATGTTATTTTTATTTTTGTATTCTCATAGGAACCCAAGAAAGACGTTTGGTTGCATCTCTTGCCTTACATGTTGGATCTCAAAATGTTAGTTTTTTAAAATAATTAACATTGTATTAAATTACTTCAGTATCTTTTAAAAAATCAATTAAATTTTTTTATTAATTCATTTTTAACATTGTTTTTTTTTGTTTTTCATTATAGGTCTATTCTTATTTTTATTTAGAATATTTGATATACCAAGAACAAGCCTGTCAGTGACAGGCTTGGTGGGGAATAAATAATAAATATAATATTTATTATTTATTTATTTTTAGTATAAACATTTTGTTGTAGATGTTTTGAAAGAAAAAATGTAAATTTTAAGTTAGATTTTAAATAATTTTTCCAAATTGTTTTTAGTGAAGTTAATTATTAAAACATATGTACAAACACAGGTGGAAAGGGGACGCTGAAAAATTCAGGAGTTATTTTTATTCTTTTGAAAATATTAACAATCACCATACATTAACAATCAACAAAGAGAATTTTCATTAATTATGTGAATTGTTTTTAGTCATGTGAGAAATTTTTAAGAAAAAAAAAATACTACTGAGAATCTGCTGAAAACTAATAGAATTTATTTTCAAAAAAAAAAAAAATTCTTTTTTTTTTTATTGAAACTAATTTACTTACAACTACTTAAATATTAAATAAAATCTAAAATTTACCCAGGTCACTGATTCCCTGATAGAGTAACACTGATGTAACGCTTACATACTAATCATGTGAATTTGTTTTGATACATGATACTTAAAAAGTATCATGCATCAAAACAAATTTATTTTATTTAAACTTTATTTACTTATGGAGTTATGATATTGTGCAGTGCAGTGGTTAATTCAATCCATGGAAGTGTTTTTTTTTGTTTTTTTGTTTTTTTTGTTTCATAATATTTTTATTAACTAATTGTTGCTAATATATTAATTATAATAAATATTAATTAATCAAAGACACAATGGGTAATAAATAGTTTAGTAATTCAGTTAATAAATAACTTAAATGCCCGTAACATGTTGTTTTTGTAAAATTTGTTACAATGTTATTTTTTGTTTATTGATTTTAAAGTTATAATCGTAAATTTGAAATGAACTAAAACAATTGAAGTTTAAAAAAAAAGAAAAAGAAATTAAATACAATTTAGTTCAATTGTTTTAGAAAATGTTTCGAGAGGATGAGTTAAGTTCTTTGATGGCTCTTATAAACAATCTTGATCTTATGATGGATTTAAGAGGAAAAATACAACAGGCATGCAACTGTAGCTTTCTATATTGGCATAAGGTGATAATATTTTTTTATATTTTTGAAAAAAGATTTATATACAATTTTAACCACTTTTATCTTCCTTCAATTTTTTTTTATCGTTATTGTTATAAATGCTCATTAAAAAAACTGATTACTTTATTCCTTAATTTCCTTGTTTTTATTTATTATCAAATTTCATTTACTAATAAATAAAATTTATTTTTAAGTAATGATAAAATCATTTTGATTCGTAATTTTTTAGATAATACTACCCGTTTACTTAAAAGATGTTTTTACTAGCTCTTTGGATGTTCATAGATTGCATGTATGTTTTTTAATTAGTTTTATTATAGTATTAATTTAACCAATATTTTACCATAAATTTGTATATATATATATATATATATATATATATATATATATATATATACTTAGATATATATATATATATATATATATATATATATATATATATATATATATATATATATATATATATATATATTTATATAAATATATATATATATATCTAAGTATATATATATATATATATATATATATATATATATATATATATATATATATATATATATATTATATATATATATATATATATATCTAAGTATATATGTATATATATATATATATATATATATATATATATATATATATATATATATATATCTAAGTATATATGTATATATATATATATATATATATATATATATTTATATATATATATATATATATATATATATATATATATATATATATATTAATGCATATATAAATGTATATATATGTATAAAATTATATATACATAAATACATACATACATAGATTTATATGCACACATGTATATATGTATATATATATATATATATATATATATATATATTAATGCATATATAAATGTATATATATGTATAAAATTATATATACATAAATACATACATACATAGATTTATATGCACACATGTATATATGTATATATATATATATATATATATATATATATATATATTAATGCATATATAAATGTATATATATGTATAAAATTATATATACATAAATACATACATACATAGATTTATATGCACACATGTATATATATATATATATATATATATATATATATATATATATATATATATATATATATATATATATATATATATATATATATATATATATATATATATATATATATGTATATATATATATATATAAAAGTTAAGTCTGTGACTCAATTTAAACTCTGTGGTTTTGCTCTGAGACTTACAAAGCAACTTGCAGTATATTTTTAGTTTTTACAAAGAAAATCCAGTGTTAATAATTTTTTTAAAGACTAGTTTATTGACATCTTTTCTGTTTATTATTCAACATAAGTACCAGTTCACGATGTATTCCAGAGGATTTGCAATATTATAATTGCAATATTATGACATTGCAATGAAATAAATGAAAGTATGACTATTTCAGTAAATAGGCTAAGTAGCTTATGAAGTTTTATTTTACTGTTTATTATGTCTTCTTATGTACTATATTACTATTTTACTTTTCTAGCTTGAAGTAACTTTAATATAATAAAGTATAAACTTATTATTAATATCATGCCCATGCTATGTATGTGTATGTATATATATATATATATATATATAATATATATATATATATATATATATATATATATATATATATATATATACATACACATGTACCAAAATTTGCCAATTTTGGTACCAAGAAATACTTAAGAGCATAGTAATAAAATAGTAATAAACTTTCATTAAAGAGAAATATGTGTGCAGTGTTTCCAAAGCACTGTGTTTAAAATAAAGCTAAAGACATATAACAAATTATTATGAGCTTAATTATTATTGTTAATGAGAATGATAAAAACAATATAGTAGCACATAATAACTGTAGCACAATTAAAATTGACTTTATAACGTTACCAGTAAACACAATTTTTTTTATCTTGATTTTTTAAAAGTTCATGTTTTTTTATAACTGTTGACTAATGAATAACACAGTGAATTTCACGTCACATAAATTTATTGAATTAAAATCATAATTTAACAGTACAAAAAACTAATAAAGCAATTACAACTAAAAAAAAAAAAGCAATTATGTTTGAATTTATAAAAATATATAAAGTCATTTAATTTTAGGATAAATATAATCAGTTTTTATCCAATAATTAAAAGAGACCTAAAGTTGCAACTGAAAAGGCTAAATAATAATAAAATATTCCAAAATAATCCTTGCAAGTGTCACACTTAGTTCAATTATGCATCAGTTTTATAACATTAACTATAGCATTGATACATGTCAATTACAATGAAATAATCTCTATGGCTGCCATCCAGTTAAGAAACCACTGCAAGAAATTCAAATGCCAGAATAAAAGAAGTATAATGACAACATTAATCTATTCTGTTTTACTTTTTATTAGGTTTAGCTTTGAGGTATAAAATTTACATAGCAATTGTATTTAAAAGATTAAATGACCAATGAATCACAATAGCTAAAAAAAATGTTTATTTTAAAATATTTTGAAAAATATACAATCAATTTAAAACAAAAATTTAAGCATTTTAGCGTATTTAAATAGAAAAAGAAAATTTGTATTAATATTAACTTTTATTTTAAAGTTTATTTTTTATTTTAAACTACAAGTTTAATGTTTTTATTTTTGTCTGAGAAGTTTTTAAAGAAACTTATGTCTAATATATGTTAATTTATGTTATGCTGTTGATCCTAATTAAGTGCAACATCAGTTACATTTATTAGTCAATCATTGTTTCAATCCTAATTATCAATAGTTATTTATCCATTAATCCTGTTGATCATATTTTAGTTATTTTTATTGCAGTAGTGCAATTTGATGCAATTTAGAATAAAACATTTAAAACTAGTAATTACTTTTAAGATGTTGAAATTTACCTTGCATGATTACATTTATTTACATGATGTCTTTGACATTTGTTTTGATGTGTTTACATCAAAAAGTGATAGAGCTCTAAATTATAAAAAAAAAATTGGTTTTTTAGCTGTAATCTTTAAGTTAGCTTGCACACCATAAAATAATATGTTTTATTAATATGAATCTTGTATATCTATTAATTTATTTCAATATCTTTGGTGCTAACAAGTTCAAGATAATTAAAAATTTTATATATACTTATTTATAAGTATTTATAAACATATTTATAAATATGTTTATAAACCTGTATATATAATTCAAGAATTTATCAATGTATATTATTGTTTCTACAAAGCTAATATCACATACAGGTGACCAATTAAGTTTCCATTTAATTGGACATAGGAGAGGTGTGTCTAAGTACAGATGATAATTATAAATTCATTTTGTAAAAATCCAAAAAGTAGATATCCAGAAGATCAGTGAGATTTATTATAAGTAGTGTATTAAATTCAATAGTGTTAATAGCATTTATGATATAAATGTATTAATGGTATGATTTTTTATTTGAAAATAAAAATAATTAATATAAATGGCTTATTATGACTACCATAATTGCTAACTTTATTAAAACATGGAGAAAAAAACAGCAAATATATTTATAATATAAAAGAAAATAAACATTTTAATTTTGCAAATATATATCTTTAGTTCACATTTTACAACATAAGTTGTGTTTACTAATGCACATGATTGATGAAACGTAAAAAAAAATATGGGATTACAAGTCTTTCATCATGGATACCAGTTTGTAGAATAGTTTATTATCTGTAATTTTAATTTGATTTATGCTAAAATATTACAAACATATTCAAAACAGTATTTTTATATATTATATATTAAAATTTATATAATAAAATATTATGTAGCTAAAAATAAGAAGTTAAAAGCAATGAAGAAATATCTCAAGCTGTTAGCTGTGAAATATTTAAAATGTTACTTTTTGTGAATTTTGTTAGGTGAAATTTAGGAAATTAGTTTTTAAAATTTTTCACATTTAGTACATGTTTGGTGCACTGCGGGATTGCAGCTACCAGTTAAAATTAGCAAGGCAAAATGTAGATCTTATGGCAATGACTAATAATTTTAAAGAAGAAGTCATGAAAGAATTTAAAGAGGTATTTTTTATGTTTGCTGTATATTTGCTATATTTAAAATGAAAAATTTATATGTAAAATTAAAGTATTTCACAATAAAAAGAAAGAAAGTGTGTTTAAAAAAAAAAAAAATTAAAAAAAAAGTATATTTGGACAGGGAGCTATGACTATTTTCCACACTAGACTTATATACATAGCCTTTACATTATAAATTTTTTGATTTTTATAAATTAATTATAATGGCAAGTAGTATTATAATGCTAAAAATAAAAATAAATCATGTATTTCAAATTATTTAGAATATTTTATTGTTAAAATTAATTAAAATAATAAAACATGAAAATAAACAGTGGTTTTTACAAATCATTTTTGACATACTTTTAGAATTTTTTATCTCCTTTGTGTAAGCAAGTGGAAACAGACCTTCGCTTAAGCATACACAGACATTTACAACTTGATGACAGAAACCCGTTTAAGGTGATTTTTAGATTATTAATGAATTATTGAAGTTATTTATTGATTGGATGATTTTGTTTTATTAAATGGTATAACTAATATATATAAAGATGAATAAACTCAATTTTCCAGAATGGTTTGCGAGATCTTACACAATTTTTTCAAATGCGCCCATTACGCTTTTTTGATGAAATTATAGATTTAAAAGGTACACTTTTCAATTTTGTTTAGTTTTTGTAAACATTTTCTTTAATATATACTGCAGACTTATGCATATAATAATTATAGTTATTGTATACATTATTATAATGTAATTATTATAACACAATTATTGTAATATAATAAAATATTGTAATATAATAAATTATTGTAATATAATAAATTTTCATGAAATCTCACTGATTATGTAGCTGATATAGTTATGAAAAATTTTTAAAAAACTAACTGAGGGTTTGGGTAAAATTTCTTCCAAAAATGCAGAGTTATATAAAAAAAAATTAATTAAAAATTAAAGCTATTTGAATCAAGCGAAGTTTAAACATTGAATTTGAATAATTTAATTTTAATATTTTTAAATATGATTGATGCTTCTAACACAATTCCACATCAACATTCAGCAAAATAATGTTTTCTGTTGCTGTTAACTTTTCAACTAAGTGCCATTGTATAAAAGATATAGAGTTTTTATTCCTAAAATTTTAATGTCAAATATCAAAGGTCAAGTTAAAAAATGTATATATATATATATATATATATATATATATATATATATATATATATATATATATATATATTTCAACTTCAGCAATAAAAATGCATGCACTTTACACAAATTTGTACAATTTATAATGTCTTCTGTTTATTATAAATAACGTTTCATGGTTTATTTTAATATAGTAGTGTTTATAAAAACTTAATTAAAGGTTTTTCTTGAAATTATTTCAAGGTACATCAAATTTATAAAATAGATAAAAGGAAGGGAAAATTAAATACATTTAATGATAATGTAACTTTTTTTCTGTTGAGTCTTATCTCTTGAAAGGTTCATTAGACCTACTTGCTCTTTGTTAGACTAATTTGAGTTCAGCTGTCTCATCTTGTGATCTTAGTGTTGATGGTTATCTCCCTTTAATTCGTAAAGACTCCAATAGTTACATGCTTGCCCTGGGCATTTACATTCGTAAGAATTCACCCATTTGTCAGGAAACTAGGTTTGAATCCACAGACTACTCTTTTATGTGCTTTCGTTTAGCACCACTTTACTCTGCCACCTTTCTCTTTGTTCTATATCACTCTCCTTCATCTCAAGACTGCACTCTTCTTGATGTTATTTCTAATCATATTGACCAAGCCCTCTCTCTTTATCCATCAGCCAATATTGTTGTTGTCGGTGACTTAAATGCTTATCACACTGAATGGCTTGGCTCTAGTGTCAGTAACCTTGCAGGCATTAAAGGCCACAACTTTTGCCTTTCTCAAAAATAACTCAAGTAGTCAACTTTCCAACTAGCTTTCCAGATAGCCCAAATCATTTACCTTCTCTACTCGACTTATGTCTTGTTTCTGATCCTAGCCAGTGCTCAGTCTCTCCACATTCACCCTTAGGTGCTTCCGGTCATGGTTTGATCTCTCTAAAACTATTATCTCATTCTTCTTTATCATCAGAATCCCCCTATCATTGTACATCTTACAACTATGATATACACATATATATATACATATATATGTGTATATATGTGTATATATATATATATATATATATATATATACACATATATACACATATATATACATATATATACATATATATATATATATATATATATATATATATATATATATATATATATATATATATATATATATATATATATATATATATATATATAAATATTAGTTTTCTAAATTTTCATCTTCTTTCTAAAACTATTTGTCATCGAATATAAATTTTTTTTAAAATTTTGACTTTTTCAAAAAAGCTATTATTTTAATAACTTCAGTTCATTCACTTATAATTAACGAAAGACCATTTAAAAACTTTACCCTGTGATTAAAGCAAAGTGCCCATTTTTTTTTAAACATCTTCGCTTCCAACAAGGCTGCAAGCAACCACTAATTAGTGTTGGAAGTTACTGGAAGAGAAAAGATGAAGATTGTAGAGCAAGATAACGATTGACAGACGACTTAAAAGATTGCAAATTATATAAATCAGGAAAGCAAGGTGAAGGATGCCAATTCCAAAGAACTGATGTTTGAGGAAAAAAACTAGATAAATAAAAGTTTTTGGAGTACTTAAGAACAGTAACAGAAAAAGGATGAGACTTAATTGAATGACGAGAATGAATTTCAGTTGATGGCACAAGAGATGCTAGCTCTTTAGAGTAGTGCTTATTATAGTATTTGTAGATAAGAGAAAGAGAAGCAACATTACAGCGATGTGACAAAGGTTGAAGGTTGGCTGCAAGAGAAGGTCTAACTATGTTTACAATGCGTTTTTGCACCTTGTCTAATAGAGAAAAAGCATCATTAGAAGATCCGCCCCAGATATGGAAACAGTATTCCATACAAGGCCGGATTTGAGATTTATAGAGATAGAATCCAGAGTAAGAAAGTGACGAGCTCGATAAAGAGATGCAACTTTAGCAGATGCTAATTTTGCAATGGATTTGATATAAGATTTCCAAGAAAGATCAGAAGTAAGAGTTAATCCAAGAAGATGAAGAGTAGATGACTCATCGAGTACATTACTGTTTATAAATATAGGAAGGTCTAAATTATTGCGATAACTATTGGCTGAAAAAAATTGAGTTTTATTTGAACTAAAGTTTACCAGCCACTGTGAGCCCCATGCTGTAGCAGAAGTGAGATTCTTTTCAAGCTCAAATGTCCCCTGCAAGCAATCAGTGGGAGTTGGCTTTTTATCGTGACAAGAATAAATGGTAGTATCATTGTTGAACAATGCCACCTTAGATGTGAGAATATCTGGAAGATCGTTAATGTAAATTAAAAAGAGTATAGGGCCAAGGATTGAACCTTGAGGAACCCCTGAGGTTACAGAATAAGAAGAAAAGTGCTGTCCATCAAGGACAACTTTTATTCTACAATTGGAAAGGAAGGGTTCAATAATCTTAAAGATGTTTCCAGATACACCGTAAGAAGAAAGCTTATGGAGAAGACCAGCATGCCAAACTTTATCAAATGTTTTAGAAATATCTAGAGCAATGGGCTTAACCTCTCCACCTTTATCTAATGTGCGATAAAACCTTTCGGTTATTACTGTTAGCAAATCAGCTGTAGAATAAGAAGATCGAAATCCATATTGATGATCAGAAAGTAAGTTGTTAGATTCAAGATGAGAGATTAGGTGTTTGTTAATTAAAGATTCAAAAACCTTGCTTATGATAGGAAGAAGACTAATGCGAAGGTAGTTAGACAAATTGGATCGCTCTCCAGAATTTTTGAAAATAGTGATAACAGATACTGCTTTCCAGCAGGCTGGAAAGCAAGACTCTGATAAGCACTTGTTAAATAGTTTTGAAAGGATAGACGACAGCTCCGGAGAACACTTCTGCAAGACTATAACAGGTATGTTGTCCGGGCCACAAGCTGTAGAAGAGTCTAAGCAGGAAATCACTTTAGATACAGAAGCTGGAGTGATACGGATGTCGAGCAATGGATCAACCTGTTTGACAGCTATATCAGGTAGAATGCAACTAGTGGAATCAAGAGATGATATTGATGAAAAGTTCTTAGCAAACAATTCAGCTTTGTCTTTAGGTGAGGTGACAAAGTCTGAACCATACAAAAGAGGTGGAACTACAAACTTGCTCTTATTATTGATACTATTAAAGATTCTCCAGAAGTCACAAGAGTCTAATTTTTGTGATGAAATACAAGATTTCATGATCTGAGAATAACGGGCTTTGGCGTTAGACAAAACTTTTTTACAATGGTTCCTAGCAGTAATAAACAGACGTCTGTTTTCTGGAGAATTGTTTTGCTGATAGATATGGAAATAATGATTTTGATTGGCAATTGTAGCAGCACAATGTGAGGAAAACCATGGAGAATCACTCTTCTTCAGGCTTGGCCTGGAATCGTCGAGAGGGAATAAAGGAATCCATGCCAGCCTGAATCCACGAAGTTATGTAAGAAGCACATTTCTGAACAGGAAGAGGGAAGATTTCTACCCAAAGGCCATCACAAAGAAAAGCACAGAAAGAGTCCCAGTCAGTTTAAGACAAGTTTTCTTCTTATAACTTTATGTTATAAGAAGAAAACTTGTCCTTAATACAATATATATATATATATATATATATATATATATATATATATATATATATATATATATATATATATATATATATATATATATATATTGTATAAAGGACAAGTTTTCTTCTTATAACATATTGTTAAAAGTGACAAGCAATGGAAAGAAATTATTTCTTATATCAAAAGCAATCCTAATCCTTAAAACAATATCTTTAAATTGGTGGAAGCTGCTTTATGTTTGCCAGGTACAATTGCAATCGTAGAGTGAGTATTTATGATTGCCAATGGTATTTGAACCCAAGGGAAATCCCAACTTACAATGAGTATTTTGGCAGCTAATTTCTCTGCTAAATTTAAAGAGAATATTACTGCTTAGAATTTGCAGAAGAAATTTAAAAATAATATTTTGCTAAAAAGAATTTATTTTTAGGATAAATATTTGTGATTTAATGCATTTGTTTTATTATTTTTTTCATAATTTAGTTTCTTGCACATGCTATTTTCAAATAAATAAATTTTAAAAATATTGTAGTAAATAAGTTATTAGAAAACCCATTTAAATTGCATAAATTTATTTCTTTAAAGCTGAATGACATTTTTTAGATAATTTCGCTTATAGTATATATATATATATATATATATATATATATATATATATATATATATATATATATATATATACATACATATATATACATATATATAAATATATATATATATATATATATACATATATATATATATACATATATATATATAAATATATATATGTATGTGTATATATATATATATTTATATATATATATATATATATATATATATATATATATATATATATATATATATATATACATACTATATATATATATATATATATATATATATATATATATATATATATATATATATATATATATATACATACTATATATATATATATATATATATATATATATATATATATATATATATATATATATATATATATATATATATATATATATATATATATATATATATATATGTATATATATATATATATATATATATATATATTTATATATATATATATATATATATATATATATATATATATATATATATATATATAAATATATATATATATATATATATATATATATATATATATATATATATATATATATATATATATATATATATATATATATATATACTACATGGATTGATAAGTTCCCGGAATGGGGTGTATGAATCATTGCTATAAAGATAAAATTTATATGTACAGCATGTTCAGACCTGTAAACGATTACTATATAAATTTTAAGTCAATTGATTATCTAATTTTGTGTTTATAACAAGTGAAGTAAAATAATCTCGATTTTTTTGCTGATATGGAAAAAACTGAAATTCGGGCAGTGATAAAATATCAATATTTGATAGGCTTAAAACCTCAAGAAATAATAAATGACTTTAATAAAATTTTGGGTTCCTCTGCTCCATTGAAAACAACTGTTTACGATTGGTATAATGAATTCAAACGTGGTTGTTCAAGCACAAGTGACGCAGAACGTTCAGGAAGGCCAAAAGAGGTCACAACTGAAGAAATGATCGAAAAAAATCATGATATTGTGATAGAAAATCGTAAAATCAAAGTTCGTGAAATTGCTAACCGTGTAAACATTTCTTATCAACGTGTTTTTAATATTTTACACAAACATTTGGAAATGAAAAAGCTTGCTGCCAGATGGGTGCCGCGCGTGTTGACTGTTGACTAAAAACGCAACCGAGTGACAACTTCTCAACAGTGTTACGACATGTTTAATCGCAATCCATCGGAATTTTTGCGTTGTTTTATTACGATGAATGAAACGTGGATCCATTGCTACACACCCGAGTCAAGGCAACAATCAGCACAGTGGTTAAAATCTGGGGAAAGTCGACCAAAGCAACCAAAACAACCAAAAACGCAGCAATCGGCTGGAAAGGTTATAGCAAGTGTCTTTTGGGGCGCACGTGACATAATATTTATTGACTTTTTGAAAAAGGAAAGACGATCACTGCAGAGTATTATGCCACCTTATTAAATCGTATACGGGATGAGATTTAGAAAAACCGACCACATTTGCGGAAGAAAAAAAATTTGTACCATCATGACAATGCGCCATTTCATACGTCATTAAAAGCAATGACAAAACTTGATGAGTTAGGATGGGAAATACTTCCCTAGCCAGCTTATTCGCCAGATTTATTCACCCACTTTTTATTTCCTAATTTGAAAAGATGGCTCCATGGATATTTTGAGGGACTTAAGAAAAATCATTTTAAGAAGGGAATTGAAATGTTGAAAAGTCGATGGAATAAATGCATTGTTCTAAAAGGTCATTATGTAGAAAAATAAAACATATTTTTCACGATATTTTATTTTTTTTCTTGGAATTCCGGCAACTTATCAATCCATGTAGTATATACATATATACATATGAATATATTTGTATAGAGATTGAGAGGTAAAAAAAAGTCAAGGTAAAAAATGAAAAATATAATTTATATATATATATATATATATATATATATATATATATATATATATATATATATATATATATATATATATATATATATATATATATATATATATATATACATATATATGTATACATATATATATTTAGATATTTATGTATATATATATATATATATATATATATATATATATATATATATATATATATATATATATATATACACACACACATGCACAAACATATATACAACATACAATACATAGGATAATTAAATTCATTAAAGAATTACTTTTTAATTAAAAGATTACATTGGACATTACTTGGATCAAACCTTTTATAATAATAACACTGTTGCTTTGCACGATTGGAAGACATATACTGAAATGCGTAATTTAGCGAAACAAAAATATAACCTTAAAATGGCTGACTCATATTTACCAAGTCAAACATTAGAGCAGGTTCTAAATTTAAACTTGGCATTGAATTTTTTTAACTTAAGTTAAATCTCTGCAAAATTTATTTTAATAAAAGTTTAAAAAGCTTTTTAATTCTTTTATTTAGGGTTTGGATGTTTTAGAGATAATGCGTAACATCCATGTGTTTGTTGCAAAATATGCATACAACCTCAATAATCAGGTGAACATTTTTTTTAAGATTAATTATAACTCAAACATAATGTCGCTTTGTTTTAAAACAAAACGTTTTGGTACGTGATTTCAAACATTTTATGTTTTATTGTGCAACATTTCTAAAATTATGCAGTTCAGTTTCCTATTTTGAAAAATAAGATATGCTCTGCAAAATTCAAGTGTTTACTTTTCAGATTTTTATTGAACGTGCATCAAACAACAAGCATTTAAATACTATTAATATTCGCCATATCGCTAATTCTATACGAACACACGGTGCCGGAATTATGAATACAACAGTCAACTTTACTTTTCAGTTTCTGCGAAAGAAATTTTTTATCTTTTCTCAGTTTCTTTATGATGAACACATCAAAGCACGGCTAATCAAGGTAAATTAAACAACTTAAAATGATAACAAGCATACAGTCATGAGACAGGATATAAAACAACTTTTTAAGTTAGTTTAAATTTCTACCAAATGTTTATTTTTAGGATATACGTTATTTTAAAGAATCTAAGGATGAATGTGAACAAAAGGTTTTTTTTTGTTTTTTATTTTGAATTTTTATTATTTAATTTGTTATTTATTGTGTGCATTAGGAATAACATATAAGTAGTTACATATAGTTTTTTATTTTACCACCTAAGCATATTGAAATTTGTTTTCAGTTTCTAAAATAAGAAATACATAAAATAAAACTCGATTACTTTATTTCTTCATTCGGAGCCATTCATCGGATTTATTCTTTCCATTTATTACAATTTCTTGTAATGGATCCAAATCAACACTAGGTACTTAAATCAGTCCAAAAATAAAAAGATTGTTGAGTTAATATTGAATTGAATGTTGAATTAATATTGCGAAAGTTTTCCTAAATCAGCAACCTAAATTCATTTCACAAAAAAAAATATATATATATATATATATATATATATGTGTGTGTATATATATATATATATATGTATATATATATATATATATATATATATATATATATATATATATATATATATATATATATATATATATATTATAGTATCCATTTGGTCGTGCTGAGAAATTTAATAAAGGAATTCGAAAACTTGGGTTGACACCAGATGGTGAAAGCTACCTTGACCAATTTCGTTTACTAATCACTCAAATTGGTAATGCAATGGGATATATTAGGTTGATTCGTTCTGGTGGCATTCATTGTATAAGCAATGAAATAAGGTAGTTCTTTAGTCAAACTTATATATATGGTTAATAATAATAACAATTATGTTTGATGGTAATTTAATGTTAATTAACTGTTTTCTAGATTTATTCCAGATCTTGATGATATTGTGTGTTTTGAAGAGTTGACAACTGAAGCTGGGTTATCAGTGGAAACAATTACAGCTGCAAAGTTTGTTTTTTAAATTAGTCCATTTTCATATTTACTTAACAAATCTAAAAAATTTTGAATTTAAAAAATACTTATGTTTATCTACTGTTTTGATTATTGTATCTAAATGTAAAAGAGTTTGCAGCAAAAAATAAATTTCATTATTTTTCTTCCTAAATGTGCATTAATCAACAAATATGTATAATTATATCTCTATTTTTTTTTTTAAATAAGCATTCATTTTTAGATGGACAGGTTTTAGATGAAGGTGTGTTTCTATGTAGATAGGGAATATTCAGGCAGTAAATTTTTTTTCATGAAAAAGTATTTTTTGTTATGATGATTTTGAAACTTTTTCCAAATTACTATTTTACTATTTAAAATTGGTTATAAGATTTTTTTACATAAAAATTATTTATTTCTTGTCACATAAAATGCTCTATACATGGCCAATTTTTTTATAATAATTTGTTGGCTTGTGAATTTTTGTTAAAATAGATAACTAAATTCCTCTTCAAAAGTACTATATTTAATAAAGTCACCATTTTAATAAACTGAAGTTGACAGAAAATCATGAAGACATGCTATCGCAAAAATCTGCCCACCTTTCTTGATCAAAAAAGGATGTAAGAAAGCTTAAATGTATTTAAATCAAAGACTAAAGATTACATATTAATAGAAAAAAAAAAAAAAAAAAAAAAAAGTTTTACAGAAAATTTTGACTGATACCTCCCATAAGTTTCTGGACAGAGTGGTTTCTGTATATTTTTCAATAGGACGTAATTCTGGGCAGTTTGAAGGATTCATCTTTTTCGGAATGAACATCACTCCATTATCATCGTAAAACTTTTGAGCATCTTTTGAGTAATGTATTGTGGCTAAATCAGGCCAAAACAATACTGAAGTACTTCTATGAGCTATAATTAGTCGTTTTATACGAGAAAGACAACATTTCACGTATTCCGAAGATTTCATTGTGCCCAAATAAACATGAATTTGCAATTTTTTGCCACAAGAGCAAAGTGCCTGCCAAATCATCAATTTTTTCGAAAATTTATCAGTCATTACATACTTGTATTTATCACTTTTTTTTTGCAGTAAAAATTGTTTTAATTATTTTTCTTTTATTTGTTTAGGAATGTAGATGCAGCTATTTCTAGCCTGACTAAAAACTTTGCTCAGGGCACTGAATATTTCAAGGTATTTTTCAAGTTATGTATTTGATATACTTTAAAGAATTTTTAAAGCTTAAATATTTTAAATATACTATTATTTAGTATACTTTTGTTTAAATATCTAAATTGACTTCTATGTGTTTATAATATATAAGTTGGATAATATATATATATATATATATATATATATATATATATATATATATGTGTGTATATATATATATATATATATATATATATATTTAATTGCGGTATTGGTGCGGTATATTTAATGCGGTAGTGGTGTAGTGGTAGAGCGCTCGCTTCATAAACGAGTGGTTCCGAGTTCGATCCCCACCACGTCCCTGGTAGTACCGCGCTCAACTCGTTTCTCCGCGCAGCGGCCTTGTTCGTCAAGGTTCGTGTTTCGGAGTTATAGAGTTGAGAGAGGGTTATAGCCACAAATAAGTAGCCTCCTCGTCTGTAGTGGCCTTCTCGGCCTTGAGGAGGTGAATCAGAATAAAAATATATATATATATATATATATATATATATATATATATATATATATATATATATATATATATATATATACATATATATATATATATATAACATGTGATAACTAAAAATCTGGACAAAATTAAAAATTGTAAAACTTTTTAGCGGAATGATCAATTTTAATAATTTAAAAAATATAATAACAAAAAATATGTAAATAATAAAATTTTATAAATGTTATAAGTTTTTCATGCCATGATGACGAACGGTGTCTACTCTTGTAAATATTGCGCAGCTAGCCAATGTACACGTTCTATGTTGATTTTCCTAATTGAAAACTCAATCCACTTTTTAAGTTTACCTAGATTTTCAGCTTGCCAGTTTTTATTATACACTAATCTCTTAAGTTCAGACCAAAAATCTTTAATTGGACGTAATTCTGTCACATTAGTAAGGTTATGCTCTTTTGGTACAAATTCAATATTTTTAGCTTTTAGATAACCTTGCACTTTATGCGAATAATGTGACGAAGCTATTTCAGGCCAAAAGACAAAAATTTTTTTTAATGATATTTTTCAATGAAT